TTCCACTCCCCACTCTGTCTCTGGTGAAGCCTCTCGCCGCCCCTGAGCCTCTGGCCTGTACCCCAGTTCTGTATGCACAAATAAATAAATCTTTAAAAAAAAAAACAAGGTTGGATGAAATCAAAGACCTAAAAAAATGGAAGGACATCTCACATTTATGGATAGGAAGATTTAATATTATTGAGATGACAATATTATTACCCAATGTGATCTAAAAATTCAATAAAATCTCTTAAAATTCCAATAATCTCTTTTTCCCTTTATTTTAGAAATGGAAAAGACCATTCTCAGATTCACAATATAACAAGGGAGCCTGAAAAGCCAAAAACAAATCTTGACAAGGAACATCAAGTTGGAGAACTCAACTTCCTGATTTTTAAAACTTACTATAAAGCTACACAGTGAGGTGCTCCTGTAAGGATTATTATATAGACCACTGGAACAGACTTGATTTTTGATAGGAATACAAAGTCCACTGAATGGGAAAAGTACAGTCCTTTCAACAAATAGTGCTGGGGTAAAACAGTAGATTTAGACCCCTAACTTCACATCACATACAAAAATTAATTCAAAATTATGAAAGACCTAAGAGGTAAGCCCTTAAATTTTTTCCTAGAAAACAGTAAGTCTTCATGACCTTGAATTTGGTAATACATTCTTAGATTTGACACCAAAAAGATAAGCAACAAAAGAGAAAGTAGATAAACTCTAATGTCATCAAAATCCAAAAGTCATTACCAAAAAGGTAAACAGACAAAAGAACTTGAAGTCTTCTTCAAAGAACATATACAAGTGACAAGCCAATTGGAAGAGATAGATGCTCACCATAGTTATCATTTGAAAATGCAAGTCAAGAGAGATACCATCTTCACCTACTAGGATGGCTATCAAAGGAAGAAAGAAAAGAGTAAGTGTTGGTGAAGAGATGGAGAACTTGCTCATACATCACTGTGGGCATATCAAGTGGTGCAGCTGCTCTGGAAAACAGTATGATGGTTCCTCAAAAAGCTGAACATAGGGCCCTCCTTGGTGGTGCAGTGGGCTGGGACACAGCACTGCAAGCTAGTCACAGCCTCTTCAGTGCGAGTTCGATCCCCGTCCTGGAGGTGATCCACATGGTGCAGTTTGGGACCTCTCCTGTCTCACCCACTGCTCCCCTTAGCAGTGTACTTCCACGCTCTGCCTGTTCTGCTCCCCACTCTCTCTCTGGTGAAGCCTCTCACTGTCCCTGTGCCTCTGGCCTATACTCCAGTTCTATATGAATAAATAAATTTTTTTTAAAAGCTAAACATAAAATTGCCATATGACTCAATGACTCCTGGATATATAGCCAAAAGAATTAAAAGGGACTCAGATACTAGATACCAATGTTCATCACAACACTTTTTACAATAGGCAAAAGGTGAAAACAACCCAAGTAGTATATGAACAGATAAATGGATAAACGAAATGGATACACCTATGATGGATCAGTAATAAAAATGAATGAAGTTCTGGTAAAAGCTATTAATAATGGCTGAACTTTGAAAATAAGCTCTGGGAAATAGTACAGAAACAAAAGAACAAACATTGTATAATTTCACTTATGTGAAAATTTAGAATAAGCAAATTCAGAGACAGAAAGTAGAAGAGCTGTCACTGGGGCTTATGGGGCTTATAGGGGAAGAATGAGGAGTTACTGTCTAATGACTGTACAGTTCCCACCAAAATAATAAAAATGTTTTGGATTAATGCTGATGGTTGAACAACATTGTAAATGATGCCACCAAACTGCATACTTCAAAACGGTTTAAACAGTAAATGTGATGAGCCTCTAACCACAATAAAAAAAACTTTAAATGATAATTTTGTTATATACATTTTTCATGAAAATATTTTTAATTCAATTACTAAATTTCATTAGCCACATTTTAAGTGTTCAATAGCCCATGTGGTTGGGTTACCAATCAACATATTGGACAGCACTGACAGAAAACATTTGCAAATGTTTTACAGGACACTTTATAGGACACAGAAAGTCCTCAAAAGTTCCTCTCTAGAGCGCTAAAAGCCATAGTTCCAAATGCAAGATCATTAAATAAGGAAAATAGGGAGAAAACTGTATACTCAGAAAGCATGTTCTTGTAGCTGTCTCAGTGTTCAGCTGCATTTAAACATTTACAACTACACAGTAGCTGCATGTCCTTCTACACAAAAGAAGAGTGTGAGGAGCCAGCACATTCTCCAAAGGTTTTACAAACAGGAGTTGCTAATGAAATAACTTAATTCAGGATCAGTGAGAATTAAAACGAAAATTCAAATGGGTTAAAATCTATGTGTATTCAGTGGGTTAAAGCAGAGCACTGAGAAGCTAAAGCCACTTCCTCATGAGTTCGATCCCCGCCTGTCCCGGAGGAGATCCACATGGCGAGGCAGACCTCTCCTGACCTGCCCGCTGCTCCCCTCAGCAGTGTACTTCGTCAGTCTGCCTGTTCTGCTCCCCACTCTGTCTCTGGTGAATCCTCTCACCCTCTGCATCTCTGGCCTGTACCCCAGTTCTGTATGAATAAATAAATAAATCTTAAAAAAAAAAATCTATGGTATTCAACTTCAGCTGCGCAACAGAATCCAGCAGGGAATTAACAAATCTACCAAAACCTATGCTCTGACAGTAAGCGATAGGAGAGGAAGGTAAAGTATGGTACAAATACAAATCCTATGAACTTGATTTTTACTATCCAGGAGACCATCTGTCTGAAAAAAGAGTCAAGTAGAAAAGAAACGGTGTTACTACTAAAGTAAGAATTCTGAAATGAATTCTCATTTACTAAAAAAAGAATCCCATAGCAAAAAGTTTACATGGTAGGTTTCCTATCTAAAGTTAACAGGAGAGAGACGGTGCACATGGCAGACTTCTAGACTTGAAGCCTTCGAAAAGTGTCAGATCAGCAGGGAGTAGCAGCTTGGCCATTTGTGCGACAGGACCACTGGGCACCACTGCTTTGAAACGTTCTACCAGGAGCCTGCCGAGGGGTCCATCTTTTACTGTCAGAGGATATAAATTAAATAAAAAATTTATCGTTAGTAGTTCATAAGTAGATAATAAAGTGGGAAGGAAAGGAGAAAAAGGCTAACATGTCTGGCTAACATCTTGTGGACATTATCTCACTAATTCTCACTTTGTGAGCTATGTAATATTACCAACAGTTCATGGTTAAGGAAATCAAGAGACAGAGATTGGAAAATCTGTACAAAGTCTCATAGTTGGGAATAAACCCAGGAAGTCTTGATTCCAGAGTATGTATTCTTAACCAGTACTCTCTATTCTCTCTCCCTTCATTTGTGTGGCTATGCAGTGTGTCTATGATCGATGAGGACAGATGCAAACACAGATAGAAAGAGGAAGGGGAGGAATTAACAAAAATGCATCAGAGGAGTGTGCTTAGGGACACGGGAGGAAGGATATGATTCTGTGATATGTACCAGAAGAAAGGGGGTTTACAAAATTTCCCTACTTCCCTAATTCTCTTGTACTGTTATGTATATATCAAATTTCTAAGAAAAAGATTTAAGGTGAATGAAGCTTCGGACAAAAGAGAAACTCTAAGTACTAAGTTAACAAAATGTGGGCCCTCCCTGGTGGCACAGCAGGTTAAAGCACAGCACTAAGAAGCTTAAGCCACTTCCATATGAGTTCGATCCCCGCCTGCCCCGGAGGAGATCCACATGGTGTGGCAGACCTCTCCTGACCTGCCCACTGCTCCCCTCAGCAGTGTACTTCATCGATCTGCCTGTTCTGCTCCCCACTTTGTCCCTAGTGAATTGTCTCACCCTCCGCATCTCTGGTCTGTACCCCAATTCTGTATGAATAAATAAATAAATCTTAAAAAAAAAATGTGGCATGAGGAGCAGTAAGGTGATCAAAGTATAGAGACTCAACTCTTACCAACCCAGAGGGAAATAAAAGCTTTATCCAAGGGACACAGGTTTTTTTTTTTTAGCTGGTTAGGAAAGTACCTTTTCTCTAGCAGAAGATAGAATTTGTGGATAGGTAACATGACACTGTAGTCATTAAGAAGTGTATCTCAAATTGTAAGCAAGCAAATTGATGTTCTGATATATAAACTGCAGGAGTTAGCTTAGGTGAAGGGCTGAAAATTTTAGGTCTCTAACTACAACAGAACACTGGCAGTTGCAGCATCTCTAAAACCCAACCTACCCACTGAAACCTAGTCAAAAGTATTTTACATAAATCCTCAAACCAAATTGTAATTTAAATCTCAACATTCTTTCTCACTTCAAAATCTTCAGGAAGCAGAACACACAGGAGTTCCAACAAAGCACATTTTGAAGGTACTCAGCAATGAAATGAACATGCAGTAAGCAGGAAAGGGGTGAAAACAAGGGGCCATGATAAACTACACACGAAACAACAAGTCTAGGAGTAAACTAAGGTCTGGCTACAAATGGGGCAAAAATTAAGTTGTGCTAAAAAATAAATAGGCACAGGCAAGGTGACCTTATCACTTCTTGCTTTTATTATATGTCATTAAACAATGTAACAGGAGTCAGCAGGTATATCATTACAAGAACACCAAATACACTTTTAAATATGTAAACCAAACATAAAAGCAAGATATCCCTGATTTAAAATGGGAATCTTGTACTCATTCCCTGAAAGTATAGAAGGACTACAACCAGTCACTGAGATCTAGAACTTGTCCTGAGTTTGCTCTCCTCTAGAACTGCTGTGGGAAGATTAATACAAGGAACTCCTTGCAAAAAAGATGGCATATGGATTCAGATGTTTTTCAGCTTATGCTGAATTGTTCCAACTCAGAGAAGTAAACTGAAGTCTCTCTCTTGGCAGAACTAACTAAGCAGAAGAGCAGATTTCATCACACACACCTGGACTATAAACGCAAGTAATAGAACCTCCCCAGACATAGGTAAAAGTGACATACTTCCATGGAAACTGGAATATACTGACAAAAAAGAATACAAAACTTTTTAAAGGATACGGTCTGTACCAGGAAACAATGTTCTTCCAGTCAATAGCTCGGCCATTATGCATCCCACTGACCAAATATCAACTGGAAAAATTAAAGAGAAATAAAAGTGCATACGATGTCAATGTTATTACATTAACAACGTTATTGTTAACATTATTATACAACATTATTACATATGGAACTGTAACTGGGGGTAAAACATTCAAATTCACATTTAAGGCATCTGTGTTTCAATAATCATACTCACTTTTATAGAAACAAAGTTACTAAGAACTTTCACCACACACAAGGGCTCATTGGTGAGGGGGCAAGAAAAATAAGCTATTCACAAAGGGGTAAATGTTTATTGGTAGAAATTGTGTATTTTTCCAATTATTATCAAGAAGTTAAAAACCTAAATCCACTGTCTTCAGGGAGAAGTACTCAGCTAGTATGTTAAAAATTTAGGGCCCTCCCTGGTGGCGCAGCGGGTTAAAGCACTACACTGAGAAGCTAAAGCCACTTCCGCATGAGTTCGATTCCCGCCTG